CATAGAAACACCCAAAATCCATCATATATATCATGTCTATTCCTTCTTCCAAGCCTCAGAACCTCAATATTGATCCTCTCCTCCTTGAAATGAGTGGAAAAAAAGAAGAAAAAAAAGAAGAAGAAAAAACAAATGTAGATAACACTAAAATTGTAGATGATAGCACTAGAAAAGTAGATAATAATGATAGCCCTCCCCCCTCTGAAGATTCTGAAGTTCTTGTTAAAAAAAAGTAGATAAAAATTCAAAAAAAGTGGAAAATAAAAAAGAAAACCAAAAAGAAAACATGAAAAAGAAAAGAAAATTAAAAAGATTGTGATTGTAGATAGTGATGAGGATGATGATTGCAGTAGTGATAATGAAGACTCTAACCCCGAATCTGAACATCAAGATCAACCGATTGGACCCCCAGGCTCAGCTCCACCGGACCAGATGTTTGAAGATCCAAAGGAAATGGTTCAATCCGTCAAGAAATTTCCTCGTGATCATTGCTATATGATCTCTCTCAAGACAACTAATGAGACTAGAAAAGTTTTTAAATGCTCCAAGTATTTTATTTTTCTCCATCACTTCACTTTTTTCCCCAACTTCAATCTTTCTGAATGTGATTTTTTGGTTATATTTTTTTCTCTTTAATTTAGAGGAGGTCTTCCAGCTCAAGCCAATCAATCCTCTTCCAACTTAATTGACTGTCCCTTTCTGGCCGTTGCAAGATTTATAACTAGCAAAGGTCACTGGACATTCACCTGTGTCAAATCAACTTACAACCACCCCTTTGACTCCAATCAACTTCCTGCTCGTGGAATTTGCCAACTTGAATCTGAACTCACAGAAGAAATACAAAATCTCCTCAGCAAGGGTTTGCAACCCAAAAATATCATTCTTCAACTGAACAAATCTCACACAGGTCACTCTATAGTTCCAGCCAATATTTATGCAATCACAAGACAGGCCAATCGTCAAGCTTCAAAAATTTCTTCTCCAATTCTTGAGTTGAAAAATCCCTCGCCACATCTCAATTCACCCTTGAAGAAAATCTCACTGCCAGTGGAGAACTCAAGGCTCTTTTTTTCTTCCATCCTTCTTCTCTTCAACTCCTCTCTCAATATTCCTCAATACTCTTCATAGATTCCACTTACAACATGCCCCTTCTCCATATTTCTGGTCTGGCTGGGAACAATCGACCTTTTGCATAGCTTTCTGTTTTACTTCTGATAATTCTTCTGCATCATGTATTTTCAGGCCAGCTAAAATGTCAGCCTCTATGCTACTAACCTGTAAGGGTTGTGCTCTGAGTGTTAACAAGAAGTGTAAGTGAGAAGGTTTATTCCTGGTTAAATCCCTCAACCTGTAAAAGAAACAGGGAGGAGTCAGTGAGGAATGGTACTTCTACTGCTGACTCATCCAATTATTCAATTGGGCATCCGGATCAATCCTCTTGTATGGATTAATAGGCTTCCAAGGTGAGGACTTCTTCAACTCACTTGGGATTAGTCTTTTAACAACAATCCAGATGAATAAGTGTATGTACACTTAAGGACCAGAATTGTTTAACCAGGGGGATAATTCTTTATGCAATAGAGATAAGTAGAAATGCCTTGAATCTGAGCAAAGTAAATCTATTTAGGTCTAAGGTAGCTGGATTGTAATGTTATTGGTGGGTTGAATCACTAATAATCACGGTACAAGTGTTGGTTTGATGCTACTAGAATTTCCTGGGGGGAAAAGGTAGGAATCTGAGCTCCTTAAATATTCTACAGGGGGCTCAGGGGAAGAGGAGAGGTCCTCAGGGCACTAGGGAGCTTCTTAGCAGCTCTACAATTTTGTGTAAAGATGGGAGCTGCAGCTGTGCAGTGCCATGCATGGGTGGAAGGTCCTAGGACATGAGATCATACATGCATAATTGAGTTTGGTGGCCTATTTCTCACGTAATTGAAAAGGCTACAGTTACTGTGCAGGGGCTGTGCAATTGTAGAGTTGGTTGCATACGTGTAACTCTGCTTATGCAAGCTTGTGATCATGAGAAATGCATGTCCTTCATGCATAATTCAGTCTTGCATGTAGAATTTGGGCTCCTTTCCCGTGTGGGCTACTTTGAATTTGGCAAGCTTTGAATTAGAGCACAAAAGGGTCCTGATGACGCCATCCAAGAGGGTTATGATTCAATCTGATGCCCTGATGAAGTGATCAAGGATGGGTAAGCTTCAGATAAATGTATATAGCTTTTTCCTCATCCATTTCACGCTTCTACTAGCTGATTCTTTATACATATGTAATTATTTATGGCTTATAAAATATGTACATAATGTATAAGAATAAACATTGTTTTAATACTTTATTCTAATGATATTTCTGTGAAATCCTAGTGATATTATATGTACAATACTCAAGGGGATTTCACAGTTAATTATAGAATTATTAAATATAAATTATGAATTAAGATTAAATGTAAATACATATTTATTTATATATTATTTTAACAAAAATGTATAATGTTTTCCAGTATTCAATTAGTTATTATTATTTGCAGTTACTAGGTACATTTCACGTACTGTGAAAGGTGCTCTGTGGCTGACATAAAATGCCTCAAAGCCTGTACCCTGGAGCTAAATTCCCTCACTTTTGTCTATATAAGGAGGCCTCTGCCTGCCAGTTGTATTCCCTCCTCATCAGATGCTCTGTAGTCAGTCCCCCCCATAACACTACATCACTGGTCACTCCACATTATCATTAGCTACCTAGTATTGAGGTTTTACAATTATAACCCCCCTTATATATATTATAACAGTTCTTTTGTGAGCCTGGGTCTCAATAGTGACAGCAGGACACAAGAATATGGGGGGGCACTTTGAAATGTATTTCTTGAGGAAAGAGGAATACAATTAAAAGTAGAGAAAAAGGGAAAGGAAAGACTGAGAGAAAGTGATAATATTTTTGTTCTTTATTTATTTTAAGATGATGAATTAAGTTGAGCAGTCTTACTTTCCACTGAGGATGGCTGGTAATAAGCGGAGCTAACTCTGACGCCTCCAAATCAACTGAAACTGAAATGGGATATTGAACTGATGAATCAGATCAATCCACAATTTTTTAGATCAAGGATCAAGGCTCTTTAAAGGGAAACCTATGTAGTTTTCAGTTATACTACCAAACAGGGAGAATTGAGGTAATAGCAGCTAGAGCTTGCTTTCTTTGATCAGGGCTTTGGTTTGGAGAAGTAGAGAAAAGTTGAGGGAGACTGAGAGAATGAACAAGCAGAAAGATGCTAGCTAAAACTTATGAAAAGTACTTACTAATGACACCAATGACACTGGGTAGTGGGAAAGGTGGGAAAAGTGGAGTGCTTCTGGTTGATAAGTGATGGCTGGATCAGTTTCTGGGTGTTGGTGTTCTGTGGTGGTCTGGAGTCTGAAAATCCTCTGGAAGGGGAATCAACAAGCTCAGAGAGGATTTTCAAAGTTGGATTATGTAATCAGGCATGTACATGTGGTAGAGGGAGCTGAAACCTAAAGGTTGGAATAATTCTTGGAGTACTGTGAATTATTTCAAAGTCAATGAAGGAATGGAGTTGGGTAAAAGTGATCAGTGGTGACTAGGGTTAATTTTACACCAGGAATCCATTTCTGAAGTCAGAAAAGTAAAAGGTCTTAAGGTAAAAAAGATAAGATAATGTTTGGAATAGAAATGGGCAGTTTGGGCAGTCTTTTGGCCAGCTTGGCTGGCTCTAAGGCTGACATCTTTACACCACGGACATTTGCGTGTCGCTGCGGCCCGCAGCGTCATCTGACGAATGCAATCAGATTCAGAACTCGCGCGACATGTGAGCAGTTGACTACGCAGCGACAGTTGACTGACTGTTGCGACACCTGGGTGGTCAACCGCTCATTGAACATCATGTCATTACAAAACAGGAACTGGTTGAGGATCTTGAGATGGTTGAGAAACTCGAGATCGACCAAAAAGAATGAGAGCAGACATCGGTCGATCTCCAGTTCCCGAAATCGGAGTGACTCCAGCACTGTTGTCAGCTCCCGTCTCTTGCGTGACTAGGAGTTGATGGTGATTAGGGTCACACTATTGTTGTTTACACAACGTAGTGGAAACGGGTCGCACTCTGGTTGGATAACCAACTCAATGGAATTAGCTTCTTCCGTATACTTATAGTATTAGAAGAGCTGCTCCTTATAATTATAAGGGACGACAGCTGATTAGTTACGCTGCGCCAGGCTTACGAGAAGAGGACAGATTGGTACTAGTCTAGTTAATACTTTAACTGTAACAGACTAGTACAATTTAGAGAGAATAGAAATAATATGTAATGTAATAATAGACTACTAATAACCCCACTCACTTATTGTACTGTTGTAAAATATGTAAGGTTAACAGGTTGGTATGGTAATCTCTGGGGGAAAGGAATACTAGAGGGATAGCCTTCCTCCTTAAGTATTACAGAGCAGAGTTCAGTCTGCTTGTAGGACCGGTACAGTCCCCATAAGGTTATGTTATTTCTTTGGGGAGAAATGTCAAGAAGATTAAAGTACATGTGAGGAAAATTGTAAGGACTGGATATGTCCTTCACTGAAATGGGCTGAAAAGTGGCGCGGTGAGGGATAAGGCTGGGGGAGCCTGAGCAAGTTCTAAGACCAAACACGGGGGGGGATTGATTACTGGCTCAGAGAGGAATTGGGTCAGATCTCTCTACAACTTTAGAGACAAACAAGGAAAGAAACAGAAAGAAGAAATATAAGAAAATGAGAACTCACCTGGCTCAGAGAGGAATTGGGTCAGATCTCTGCTGAGCCAGGAAAGTGAAACTGGGATTAGATGTACTCAAAGGAGGGTGACATGTACAAGACTTTCTTGTGAACCCCAACTGGGGGAGGGGGTTTACAGTCTCCCCTCCTATAAAAAATGAAGAAAAAAGCAGAAAGAAGGAAAAAAAAGGAACAGGATAGAAGATTAAGAAGAAAAAAAATATAAAATGAAAAGAAAGGATTGGGTCAGTCACGTCCTTGGTGACCGGCAATGGCAGCCGCCAGGTCGGCTTGTTCTGCCTTCTTGATTTCATTTGCCAGGAGTTGGTTGTCGAGGTCCTCAAGTGCTGCTACAGCGGCCGGGTCGAGACTGGGGAAACAACCTTCGTCGTCAAAGTAAGTATCCCAGCGGCCGTCCTCCCGCATTGCTGCGTCCAGTTTCAGCGCCAAGACCTGAGCTTCAAGGGGTGTGGCATCCGTGATACCCGCTACACTTGCGGCGCAAGTTGCAGGACGGCCGGCCGGCGGTTGTGTGGACTTCCCTGGAGTGGCCGACGGTCCAGATGGTCCACTCCAGGCGCGCGGGGCTGAGTAGTCGGTCGGTTTTGGGGGTGCCTGATATCTAGTCGGGATGTCTACATGAGCTCTGTTGAGGGGGCCTGGGCAAGTACCATTTGCGTTGCCACAATGTTTCTTGCAAAAATGGCAAAGACCCCGTGAGTCAAGGTACGATCGAACTCGCCAAATGAATTCGTCGCGGTTCAGGGGAGGAGCTGCAGACGGCGGTTTTGGATGAGTTGAGGTTTCCGATGGACGGTGCAATGCTAGGAATGAGGCGTTAGTTTGCTTCTCAAACGGTCCGTAAACAAATGGGACCGTCTCGAGGAGTTGTCGCTCGTTGATGCGATCTTGGAGTGAATCCGGTAGTCCATAGACGACAAATTGTGCCAATTGGAGGTCGCCCAGTTTGGAAGAAGCCACGGCATCGAAGTTAAACAGACTCTGCAGCGTTCGTGCCCTTGTGCTGTACTCGAGAAAGGTTTCGCTTGGTAACATCTCGAGTTTCCGTACTTGGCGTTGTAGTCCAGACCGCCAGTTGGTGGGCAGCGCGAAGTTGAACATACGTATTTTGAATTCGCTCCATGATTTGGTGAGGAAGCCGGTTGCCTCGTTGGCATAGAATGATTGGAGGTTGGTTTCCGCGATGAGGTTACCGATGATTTTGATCCTATCAGCCGAGTTGCTGACGTCCTTAGTGTCGAAGAATATCTGTACGCCGTGGATCCAGCGTAAGAAGGGTTCAGTTTCTTGGAAAGGGCCTCGATAAGTTGGGCCGTCCGACGTGCGAAACTTCTGGAGGTCGATCCGACCTGGTGTAGATTGCTCCGGTCGTGTTGCAACCTCGTTCTTGATATTCATGGCCAGAAGAAGGTCTTCCAGGCGTCCGATACGAGTGGCGTTGGCTTGATGAGCTGCCAGAAAAATTTGTCGATCCGCTCGCCGGTCGTCGAGGGCCTGTCGTCGATCCTCCTGAGCCTGGGCAATCGACGAGTGCTGGATCTTGAGGACAGCTTTGAACCAGTCCTTGGCAGTGCTGATGTCGGTCGCGTCGGCTGTACGAGCAGTGTCGGTGGTCTGTTCTTGGGTACCAGGCGTGGCGGCTGCGTCCAACATATCTTCTTGAGATGGAATAGGACGAGAGGGTAGGGGGGCAAATGGCTGGTTGTGTAAATTGGACAATCGTCTGCGTTCGGCGTTCGCAGCTCGGATGATAGTTTCTGGATCAGTTAGGGGAAGTAGATTGTGAGGTTCGGTGTTGCGTCTTGTGGTCATGAAACGGGCGACCGTGTAGTTCCGAAAGGTGGGAGTAGTCAAAAGGAGGGGGAGTAAAGAGGATCGCAGTCGAAAGAGCAGTCAAGTCGTTAACGCAGTAGGTTCAGTTGAGCTTCAGTCCAGTAGGTTCATTCAAGTCGGTCCAGTCCAGTCAATTCAGTCGATTCAGTCAGTCTAGTCAAGTCAGGTCTTTCGTTAATTCTCAATCGATTCAGTCAGGTCGTTGGGTCAATTTCAGTCGATTCCGTCAGTCTAGTCAAGTCAATTCGTTGTTTAAGAGGGTGGTTTGGTGTGAGAAAAAAAAGTGTAAGGACTGGATATGTCCTTCACTGAAATGGGCTGAAAAGTGGCGCGGTGAGGGATAAGGCTGGGGGAGCCTGAGCAAGTTCTAAGACCAAACACGGGGGGGATTGATTACTGGCTCAGAGAGGAATTGGGTCAGATCTCTCTACAACTTTAGAGACAAACAAGGAAAGAAACAGAAAGAAGAAATATAAGAAAATGAGAACTCACCTGGCTCAGAGAGGAATTGGGTCAGATCTCTGCTGAGCCAGGAAAGTGAAACTGGGATTAGATGTACTCAAAGGAGGGTGACATGTACAAGACTTTCTTGTGAACCCCAACTGGGGGAGGGGGTTTACAAAAATCTCTCTTATTTCAGAAGATACACCTAAGAGAGATAAACAGGACTATAAGTATTTACAACAGAGATACACAGGATAAATCTCTTTGATAATCATAAGAGATAATTATCCTTTTCAATCTGAATATAACTTTCTGGAAAAGGGTAAATTAATAAAGAGGTAAATCTTTATTCATTTACTAAACATTTATTAACATAACTAATACAAATAAAAGAGAATAACATAACCGTATACTTATTAACTTAATAATTACATATGATAATATTTATTATGTAAACCAAGGGGGTTACCTTTTATTGTAGACACCTGGGCTAGTGTCTCAGTGTCTGACAACTGTGACCTCAGTCAGGATATCTAACAAGGGGATTTCCATGGGTTGGAGCAGCCCAGACCTCTCGATCTTGCAACCTCTCAGACGCTCTCCAAGGCTCTTGATCAAGCCTCTCTGACGCTCATCGATGCATCTTTTTTTTTTTAAAGTGAAAACTTGGCCTATGGCACTGCTCACTATGAATCTGTGTGACATCCTTGTAAAATAAAGAAAACAACCTCCTAAAAAAAAACCACAAACATTTAAAAGTGAAATGAACTACAGCCCAGAGATGAGAACAGTAGGAAAGGAAGAGAAGGCAAAGAAAACATAAAAAAAGGAAAAGAAAACAAGATGGGTGAGTTTTATGGGAAGTGGGATGTCATCGAGGGAGATGTTCCGGAAATCGATTTGTTTCTAGGAGGAAACTAGCTACTGCCGTATCAGCTTTCCAATTGTTGAGCATTCTATCGAGTCTGTTAGCTTGAAAGCGGATTTTGAGTTGTCGCAGTCGTCTTCAGAAAATCACCCGCTGCTTCTTGATCAGCGGGCTGAAATTCATGAGATGAAAAATTGTTTCCTTTGCTCCACAGTTTGGGCAAAGAGGGTCTGCTGTCCTGAGCCGTACCCGCCTCCTCCGAGTCATGTTCGTCGTCTATCTTGCTTGCGCTAATGGCCGCTCTGATCGTCATCTGGACAAACTCGCCAACCGAGACCGCTTTCAAGATGTGGGGCAGGAGGCTCCAGAGGGCGATAGTCGGATCTGGGGAGTCAGTCTCAGCACAAACGGCGCTCCGGACGGCGGCTTCCAATGCGTCCGGCCATCCGGTCGCCGAGCCAAAGTCGTACGCGAGGAAGCCGGCTGGCTCTATCATTTCTGACGCTGGTAGGACCTCAATTGTTGCTCGATCGCACCCAGGTCTAGTTGTACCCGTCGGTTGAGATCTGAGCCCGGTCCCAGGTGATCTGGCGGCGCACGCGAAAAACTAGCATCGAAGGCCCGTATTACCGCTAGTGATCGCGCTGATACGAGATGCAACGCCGTCGGAGTGATTGCATCAGATAGAAGAATGCTTTGTAGTATCTCCAATAGAGCTGTCGGATATGAGCTCGCTGAGATCCACCTAAATTGAAGAGAGAGAGAGAGAGAGAGAGAGAGAGAGAGAGGGAAAAGACTCAGTTTATATGAAGAAGAAGAAAAAACGAAATTTGAGATGTTCTCAACATACCCGACCCTAGTGAGCTCATTGAGTAACCAGCCGACGACACCAACAGCACAACCACCGACAAGAAGTTTGTGTTCTAAGTAACTAAGGCCGTCTCTGGAAGTCTAGAGGTCGATGAGGCCAATGGTGAGAGCATCAAAGGACTGTTTGAAGAGGGTGGCGCTGATTGAGAAGAAGATCCTAGGGTCAGTGTGACCGAGCAAGTCATCGGGGATCCCAGAGGAACCGTATAGGGCCTTGATCCATGAGCTCAACGTGCTCTGGTGGGTCGCTGGTAAGCTGCTTATTGGGTATGATTTCGATGGGTTCAAGAGGTGATGGATCGTAAATCCGGTGGTCGCTCCAAGATGGTAACTTAGATTGGACATCAACTGATACAAACTTTCAATATGATTAATCAACCAAAAATCAAATAAGATAAATAAATGGCACAAAGAAGAAGAAGGAAATGAAACAGTCCATGATTTTGGTCCGGATCCAATCTACTAGGACGGCAAGACCAGAGCATAAGGACTGGTGAGGGTGATAGGGATGATGGGTGTGTTTAATGAAGTTCTTGATCGAGCACAGGTTGGCGAAGGCGGAATCGGAGAGGTCATAGAGTGAACGGGTCGTCTGATCAGTTTGGCCATAAATTCTTGGATACAAGTTGTGCTCTGGTCTGGGTTTCAGAGCATGAGGATCGGATGTTGGTGTGGGGGTCTTGAATCCGATCGATCGACGGAAGAAATGGGTGATAAACGTTGTACGGTCGATTGGAGATGATCTGGTTAGACCAGATGGGATAAGTATGCTTATAGGGATCTTTATGATGAGATTAAATTGAGGATACATTACTGACAGGTTTGGATGGGTTTCGGATAGGATGGCCTCTCAGACTTGGATGGATTCTTCCAAAGGGTAGGGGGTTTGATAGGGATGATTGAGAGCAGATCGGCCGATTGAAGTTGTCCCAGCTGTACATAGATCAAATGTTTCTGGGTAGGTCCTGTTGTCAAATGATGTCGCTGCAGATGACGATGAATTCAAATTCAAACTCGCGTGCAGCGTCAAGGTGACGCTGCGGGCCGCCGCAGCAACACGCAAATGTCCGTGGTGTTATAGTGTAGAAATATCAACATTACTTTTTTCATAACCACTCAGCTATCTCACCTTTGCCTGAAATCCACTGCTTTTGGGTTCATACACCCCAACCACAAGGACCTGGGTTCAATTCCCATTCAAGACATCCACTTTAACTCCACTTTAACTCCACCTTAACTCCACTTTAACTCCACCTTATCTCCACCTATGCCTGGTCCTCCGTTCCATTCCTGGTTGAAGCATAGTGCTCCCAGTGCCCAGCACCTTGGCTCCAAATCACCTCTTTTTAACTTTATATACCATGAAACTCAAGGACCTGCGTTCAAGCCTCACTCTCAACAATATTACCATCACCACTTCTACCAACAATAAACTCATCAACATCAACATCATCACCAACAATCACCATCAACTTTAACCGTTATACAAATCATTTGACAGCTTCATCTCGAACTATCCTCTATCACAATATATAAACTGCCAAGCTGAGCTTGGTGGTCTTGTTGTTCTGATAGCATAGAAGGGCAGAGCTTGCAACTCCACCATCCCCTTCTCCATTCAGCAAAAGGGTTTCATAACCACTTTTGAGTCTTAAGCCGGTTTTGACCGGTGTGGAACTACTCTTTGGGATGAATAGAGCTGGAGAGGGAAAGATGCTTTAATGGGATGCCTCTCTGGTAACTGGGTTGAGTAAGATAACAAGAAAAAGATAAGAGTGTGGACTCTTAAGGAAAGGTGTGGCTTTGGAGAATTCTTGAGATGGGTATGTCTTGTGTCTTCTGGTCTTCTGTCTAAATAATACTAGTATCCCAAATGTTGATGGGCAACTACTAGGCTAATGAAGGGTGATCAGTTATCTGGATTGCTGGGGCAGGATCTGATGAGGAACAAATGAAGAGGGGAAAACAAGGCTCCTTATATACAAAATCTGGGGAGTGGCCAGCTTGTGGTTGGAAACACCATGGAACAAAATGGAACAAGAGAAAATTATCAAACTGAAACAAGGTGGCCCAATTGGTAGGCACTAAGATAAATGGGGAAAATGACATCAGAGACATGCAGGGATGAAATGTGCCACAACCAATGAGGGAGGAAGAATATACCAAAGAGATTAATGAACTAGCCAAATGTGTACTAGTGTGAGACATGAGAATAGCCCAAGAGGAATAGTGTGAAACCCTAGAATGTGGCCCAAAGTGGAAATGAAGCTAGAGTGAAAGTGGAATAGAGTGAAACACATGCAAGGGCCAAGTGTGGAAGGCTGAATGGGGATTGATGATGTAAAGCTGCATGAAGTGATTATGTAATAAAGAAGTGTAATGTGGAATCCAGAGTGTTTCTGTCCAGGGGGCTTGGTCTCGTGACATCCATGGTGTTGCAGGTTGGTTGAATAATCCAGAAGGGGCTTGTCTTGATCTTTGAGGGTCTTGTCATTCAGGGGGCTTGATTATGTGCTTGGAGCTTTGATTTTGTGGGCCTCTTATTCAAGATTGGCTTACCACTTGTCATTTATGTGGGTGTTTACTCCCATTGATGACTGGTCAAAACCATCAATTCTTCATACCGTCATCAGTAAGCTATACTAGTCCAGAAATGTCGGTTTCAATCAAAGCATTTACTCCAATCCAGTTGTTATGGCTGAAAGATATGCAACTTTGGGTGGATAAAAATTTGGAAGAAATCAAACCTGCTCCCACCAAAGAATCACCCTACCCAGATGCGTCTGGATGGCAAGGACACATCATCATCCAAGGAAAAATAAATAGTGGTGCACCGGACCTCTGTATTCCCCTCTCGTTTACTCATATTGGTGACTGGTTTTGACCGTGCATCAATGGGAGGACACACTCTCATTGATGACCAGTCAAAATCAGTCATTGATGGCGGGGGTTTACTCCCAGCAATGACAGGTCAAAATCAGTCATTGCTGGGGGTTTTTACTCCCATTGATTACCGTTCATTGCTGGGGGTGTTGAATCCCATCAATGACTAGTCAAAGCCGGTCATTGATGGGGGTGTTTGGGGGGGGGGGGGGGGTTGCTACTCCCATTGAGGACCGGTCAAAACCCTTGATGGGAGTGTGTCCTCCCATTGATCCGGTACTTGATGGGGGTGTTTACTCCCATCAAGGACTGGTTGAAACTGGTCCTTGATGGGAGTGTGTTCTCCCATTGACAACCGGTGTCATAAATGGTCATCAATTGGAGGACTGTATGGCCAAATTGGCTGAGGAATTTTTTACATTTTTTTGGCCAAAGTGGCGTTTCAGTACCTCCATTCTCCATAGTAGCTTCCTTTTTTTTTGGAGGGTTGCAAAATATGGTTTGTAAAATTCAATTTTACATACCATGTTGTGCAATTTTGCAGAACATAATTTAAAACTCATAGATGGGTTGCAAACTAATGGTTGGGTTGCTGTCAGCCTCTGGGTAACTAACCTGAGTATTTAATAGTAAAAAGGTTGTTACTATGAGTTGACTGAAGTTTTTGAGCGTGGTGAGTGTTAGGTAGTGGGTGATTAATACCAGTCCTGTAAAGAGGAGGTTTCACTTTATCAGTGTGGTCTTTACTGAGAGGCTTGCTATCAACAGCGCATCCGGATCAATACAGGGTATTAATAGGCATCCAGGGTACTAAGACTCACCTGGGATTGATTTGGTTATTCCCAAAAGGGAATGGGCTAACAATACTTATTAAGCTTTAACAAAATTAGTTGAAGATTAACAGGTATTGTTGATGGGAATATTCAGCAAGGCTATGAATACTGTGGATAAGTTGAGTAAGAGTACTGAAGCTTAAGAACAATAAATGTAGACAAGATTTATGTTGGTTACGTGTACTGTATCAATATAAATGTTAACTGGTTTAACTGGTGTCTGAATATTCTGGGGATTAATCAGTGAAAGAGGCACGGATTATAAGTTCCAGAATATTGAAGGGGGGAAAGAATGAGCGCTCAGAATCAAGGGAGCTTTGGCCAGGAGAATGAGCACATCAATTGATTGACTGATCATTATTTGTCATGATCTGTAAGTGACATCATAATTGTGTACTAGTTGATCAATGTACTAGTTGCTCTTGATGCATGTACTTAACAGATCCTCTAATAATGTAGTCATTATTGTGATCAGTGCATGTATTGAATGTATTAATTCTATTGATACTTAATACTTACTATTTAATACATGTACATATTTATTTGTAATAATATTTGACCGTGAAAATACTGTAGAGCAGGGATAACTTGTGGTACAGGTATTTCACGGACAAAGGAGTGAAAGGTAAGTGATAATTACTTATGTATGAAACAGATATGTATTTAATAGATAAGTAATTAACAGATAAGATAAATATAAGATAAATAAGATAAGTTAATAATAATGATAAGATAACAAGAGGTAAAGGTAATCAACATTATGGATATGTACTTATGTAAGTAAGTACAGGTGTTGCAGTTACTTGGTACATGAAAGGTACTGTGACATGTACTCTGTGGCTGACAACTCTTGTGCCCTTTGCGCGTAGCATTAGCGCAGAAAGGTGGATTTTTTGCTAACGCTATACTACAAAGTAGCGTATTTTTGCTACGCTATGGTTAGCGTAGCTGGCCCACCATTGTCAAACACATGAAATTCAACATAAAACTAGCTATGAGGAACCATAATTCAGTCTATGTCAGCCACAGAGTACATGTCACAGTACCTTTCATGTACCAAGTAACTGCAACACCTGTACTTACTTACATAAGTACATATCCATAATGTTGATTACCTTTACCTCTTGTTATCTTATCATTATTATTAACTTATCTTATTTATCTTATATTTATCTTATCTGTTAATTACTTATCTATTAAATACATATCTGTTTCATACATAAGTAATTATCACTTACCTTTCACTCCTTTGTCCGTGAAATACCTGTACCACAAGTTATCCCTGCTCTACAGTATTTTCACGGTCAAATATTATTACAAATAAATATGTACATGTATTAAATAGTAAGTATTAAGTATCAATAGAATTAATACATTCAATACATGCACTGATCACAATAATGACTACATTATTAGAGGATCTGTTAAGTACATGCATCAAGAGCAACTAGTACATTGATCAACTAGTACACAATTATGATGTCACTTACAGATCATGACAAATAATGATCAGTCAATCAATTGATGTGCTCATTCTCCTGGCCAAAGCTCCCTTGATTCTGAGCGCTCATTCTTTCCCCCCTTCAATATTCTGGAACTTATAATCCGTGCCTCTTTCACTGATTAATCCCCAGAATATTCAGACACCAGTTAAACCAGTTAACATTTATATTGATACAGTACACGTAACCAACATAAATCTTGTCTACATTTATTGTTCTTAAGCTTCAGTACTCTTACTCAACTTATCCACAGTATTCATAGCCTTGCTGAATATTCCCATCAACAATACCTGTTAATCTTCAACTAATTTTGTTAAAGCTTAATAAGTATTGTTAGCCCATTCCCTTTTGGGAATAACCAAATCAATCCTAGGTGAGTCTTAGTACCCTGGATGCCTATTAATACCCTGTATTGATCCGGATGCGCTGTTGATAGCAAGCCTCTCAGTAAAGACCATACTGATAGAGTGAAACCTCATCTTTACAGGACTGGTATTAATCACCTACTACCTAACACTCACCATGCTCAAACACTTCAGTCAACTCATAGTAACAACCTTTTTACTACTAAAAGTCTACTTCAGGATGATTCAAGAAAGAGAAAAGAGAGAAAGAAAGGTGAAGGAAGGAGTGATTTTGGGGAAGAGTAGACCAGAGAGCTGAAAAACTCAACATCCTGAGTTTGCCTCCAGGGGCTCAGAATGAGTACTTAAGGACCCCTTCTCCCCCCTGAAATTTGATCCCCCATCTTCATCATTACTTACCAGCATAAACCGTCACCAACAACCAGTTTCAACCTGCCTTTTGGCCCAGTTCCTGCTGTTTGCAATCTGAATTTCAACCTTCCAACTCAACACATGTTCCCCAACACTCCTCCAAAACCTCCAAACCACCTTTCTGAGCGCCTCAAAAACCGTTGTGGTGTTCTAAACGGTCAAGGTTGAATTCCAAATTTCCAATTTCAACTTATCAATATCCTCAAGCCTCAAGATTTCAACAATATCACCTCAAATCCCCTCTCAGTCCAACAGTATCCTTCATTAGATTATTTTAATATGTTTTTGTTTCATTTTATTATTTTACTTCCTCTGATTTTTTTATCTTCATATTATTTTTCATTCATCTTGATTTTATTTTTATTTTATCATTTTATCATTTTTTTATTATCTTTTTCAAATCACCTACTCAGTAGACAGTCTGTAACCCCCCCCCCCCCTTGAGTTGGGGTTCACAAACCTCTCACTCACATGTCACGCCCTCCTTTTAGTCTTCATCTTTCAGTTCCCCTTCCTGGCTCTGCAGAGATCTGTTCCCTCCCATCTCTCTGAGCCAGGTAAGTCCTATCTCTTTATTTCTTTTCTTATTGTTTCTCCTTTTCTAGATTGTACTGAGAGATCTGTTCCCTTCCATCTCTCTGAGCCAGCCAGTAATCAATTCCCCCGTGTTTGGTCTTAGAAACTGCTCAGGCTTCACCAGCCGTGTCCAAACAGCGCCTTTCTCAGCTCATTCATTGAAGGACAAATCCAGTCCTTACACTTTTTTTTTCTCACACCAAACCACTCACACTGACCCTGCTCCGACTAACTACTGGACTTGACTCGACTGAATTGACTGAATTCCACTTGACTGAACATACTCGACTCGACTGTACTCGACTGACCCCCCCCCCTGCCTTGACATACTTTGCTGGACTGTACTTGACTGACCCCCCTGCCTTGACGACTCGACTGCCCTTTTTTTTCAAACCGCAATCTCCTCCACTTCTTATTCCGGTTCCTTTTTCTCTTTTGCTTCCTTCAAATACTTCCAGCTCTTGGGGCTACACGATCGCTTGTTTATGACTACGAGGAGTAATACCGACCCCGACAATCTGCTCCCGTTAACGGACCCTGAGGCTATCATCCAATCTGGTAACGCCAAAGAACGCCGACTCAAACACCTTAATTCCAACCCAACTGCCCCGCTCCCACCTCCTTCCGAAACTACACCTTCCACCGTGATGTCCGATGAAACGTCTGGATCTACTCGCACGGCAGACGCATCAGACATGCAGACAGCCAAAGACTGGTTCAAGTCCGTCTTCAAGATCCAACACGCATTCATTGTTGAGGCACAGGCCGACCGTCAACAAGCTGCAGAAGATCGCCGACAGGCTCTAGAGGATCGCCGCGCGGACCAACAGATCCTTATCTCTGCTCACCAAGCCAGTGCTGCCCACATCAGCCGTTTAGAAGAATTACTCCTGGCAATGAGCATCAAGAACAAAGTCAAAGCCCAACCGGTACAATCAACGCCGGGCAAGATTGACCTCCAGAAGTTCCGCACTTCGGATGGACCAATGTATTGCGGGCCATTTCAGGAGACCGAGTCCTTTTTACGCTGGATTCATGGAGTCCAAATTTTTTTCGATACCAAGGACATTACCAATGCAGCGGACAAGATCAAGATCCTTGGTAATCTCATTGCCGAAACAAACCTACAGTCCTTCTATGCCAACGAGGCGGCCAACTTCCTCACCAAGTCTTGGGAGGAATTTAAAACACGGTTGTTCGACTTTGCGCTCCCTACTAATTGGCGGTCCGGGCTACAACGTCAGATTCACCAACTCGATATGTCACCGGCGGAAACGTTTCTTGAGTATAGCACGCGAGCCCGTACGTTGCAGAGCCTGTTTAATTTCGATGCCAGCAAATCCTCAAAACTTGGGGACCTCCAACTCGCCCAATTTGTGGTCTATGGGTTGCCGGATTCCCTCCAGGATCAGATTAACAAGCACCAACTCCTTGAAGTGGCCCCGTTCACTTACGGCCCGTTTGAGAAACAAGCCAACACTTCCTTCATGGCGTTACAACAACCGACCAACCCACCTATTGTGTCTAGATCAACACCGAGCGCACCGCCAAGCCTTGCTGTAAAGCTCAAAAGTGTTTGTGAAAACCTTTTGCTGAGTGTGGAAAGGGATGAATGAGGATACCTCTGCCTTTCCTGGATCACTAGACACTAGAAAAGCCCACCAATCTCAGATTGGAAGGTTTAATAAAGTGATAGTGGAGTGTATCAAAAGATAACTGTGGCTTAACAGGTGGACAAAGGGTTTAACCCAGTTTTATAAGGGTCTAAAAGGTTGATTTGAGAGTGAGAGAGTGAGTCTAGCTGATATTTCAATGGTAAGGGGATGGTATGTAATGGTATGTAAGGGTTTGTAAGGGTAGGGGGTATGAAATAGGTGGATACTAAACTGAGGGGAAAACAACTGAGAGGAGAGCCTCTTAAATACACAAAGGTGAGGGATTTTAGCTTCAGGGGAACAAGAGAATGAGAGATTTTAGCTGGCCAGAGCTTTACAATGAGGGGATTTAGCTAGTCAGAACATGTACATGAGGTATTTTGGCTGGTTGAGCCACCTACATGATGTCATAAGAGTTATTCTAGCTTGAACTAGAAGTCTACATGAGGGTTTGATGCTGGTGAAGCATTTTACATGAGGTGATGTACTAGTCTGCAAGCTAAGTTGAGGTGATGAATATTACATGAGTGATGTGAGATAGTCTGACAGCTGCAAGGAAGATTAAGAAGTGACATAGCAACAGGACCAGCCTAGAAGCTACATATGTCAAGTGTCAGAAGATAGTGTAGTTGTGTATATCTGTACTATAATGATGTGAGTATGTAGTTTTCCTGCAACGTGCATGTGTGTAGTGTGAATTATGTAATTTGTTGAGGTTGTTGAGTATTGAAGTGTTGACATAGTGTTGAAATAGTGTTGAGTTGTGTAATTGAGTGTAGTGATGGTCCAGAGGGTGTAGCTTCCAATCCAGTTGAGTTCCAGTGACGCCTCCAGTGGTGACCAAGGGTGAAATTGAATGTAGAATCCAGTTCTTGAACCATATTGGGTGATTTGTGAGTGTATATATGAGAAAAAAAGTGCAATTGCGTAATAGAAGAAAGAACTGTAAAAATTTTTAAATGGGCCAGATGGCTACCCTTAAGGTATACCACATCCTCCCCCAACTTATTGTCTGTCCCCAGACAATTCCGCCAAAAATTCCCCGCCAGGGTGCTGTGGAATTAGCCGTGTTGAGTTATCCATTGTGTTTTGTAAATTTACAGGAGCAAGTTCTTACTTCCACCTTTGATTCTGGTGTTTTCAGTTTTCTTACTAAAAAAATGGGCCACCAAAGCCCCCCCTTACCTTGGAAATTAAAAAAAAGGGGGGTTATTTGGTTTTTTTTTTTTTTTTTGAGAGAGGGTGCGCAGTGCGCAGTCCGCAGTCCGCAGTCGGTGACTTCAAGTGGCTGTAGTGTACGCAGCAGCTTACTTAATCCTTGAGGGTCGCGCTCGAGTTCGACATTGGGGGTTCGGGGTTTCTAGTACCCGTCCCAATCCCCGCGCGCCAGGTCGTGTGCGCCGTTCCGAACCGGGATTCAAGTGCCTGCGGCCCTGGATATGCCTGAGTACATACCAGGCAACCGGCACCACTACATCCCTCACGGATACGACTTTCGGCATCTTCCTTGACTTCGAATCGGATCAACCGTCAAGATCCTCGGTCGAAAAAAAAAACAGTAAGTAATTTGTTTTTCTTCTCTTTCTGTTCGTGATCCTTAGCGTAGTACGTAGTTAGACTGAAGACGATGCCTGTTTCTGTACTTCAACAGCTACCGTCATGATATTCCAGGCTAAGCTCCTTCCAACGCTGCCACAGATACGGTATCTGCCATGTATCACTATGTATCTGAGCCCCAATAAAAAAAACTATCTGACCAATCTGCTTTTATTTGGAAGGAGATTCAACAAATTTGGTTTTTGGCCATGCAGCTTTGCAGAATTCTCCATGATACACACAGTGTATCGTATCTGTGGCAGCGTTGCTCCTTCCTCCCGCCAAACGCCGTCGCCAAGGCCGGTCCTTTGACACATTCTTAGGTCCCACCTGTCGTGTCTGGCTGCTTGCTCAAGGTACCACCACTGGCCGGTTGAAGAACTACGCTAGCCGTGGATCCTTGTCGAGTCTAGATGCCTGTTGCCGGCCCTTGGTTCTCAAAAAAACCTCAGGTCCCTCTTTTCCGTTTGCGCTGATCGGTTTTAGGTTGGTTTTAGTCTGTCCTCAAGCTGGTGGTGGGTATTCCATCCGCCGCGGTCGTGGTAGAATGAAAGTACAGGCTGTCTCTACCCTCAATATAAAGGTGAGATGCTCCTCAATTGCTTTCCCCCTCTCCCAACCAGTCTTTATTCGCCGATAGCAGAATTCCCTTAGTAGTTGTTGTTTTAGTGTTACAGCTTGGTGATAACAGTTAGTTGCGGTTGTTGCTGCGTTACCGCATTTTGATGAGTAGTGTACTGTCAGCTGGCAAGCAAAACCCAGTTACCCCTTAACTAGTGAACTTAATGTTTTGCTACACCTCCTGCACTTTTATACATTTCACACTCATTTCACTCATTTTCTTATTCATTTCACTCATTTCATTATTAACATACTCTACATATATGCTTGTATCTAGTTGGCCTTGCCAAGTCAGATATATAAAGTTGTACTGACCGAAGTCTATTGTTACCCAGACTTTCAGAAGAGACGAAAATAATAACAACCTTTTATTTCAAATCATCCCTCTTGAGTTTGAAGATACATCAACAAATCACTACTTCAAACTTGCCTGTTCCCTTCACATCACCACATCACTGTACGGAACTCTCAGCCTGAACTTCTCAAAAACTTATCAACGGCTTGGGCGTGAACACCGTGGACCGGATTAGATCTTTCTACGACTTGGAGCCACTGGACGATTCCAGTAAACTTTCATCGAGCAGATCTCATCACCTCGGAGTAACCCACCGTTGACAATTGGCGACCACCCCTTATACCCGTACACCTGGAAGGCCCTGTGTGGACGGAATCCTCCCAACCCGAAGATTCATCATTTTTTTTCTGTTTTTTTTTTTTAGAAAAATAGAGTCTGCTCCATTTTTTATCGACTGTTGCAGAACAAATCATTATTACTTTTCTCTTCCGACTCTTTGGCTACCATCAATCTCAATCACCCCACCAACCGCACACATCGCTGGATCCAGATCCAAACTTCAGCTATCCTAGTTTGTGGTTAACTTAAACCACCATCGCCGATATCTGGTTATTGGACTCAGCACGCAAACTTCAGCTGTTGTTTCTCAGTTATCATCCAATCACCATTGATTTCAATTTTGCGTCGTCCTCGGGGCACCACACACCCTCTTTTTTCATCTCTGTACTGGTTCATTTTTCCGCCAGACAACTTCTCAAACACTAGTATTTTTCTTTTAAATAAACTCCTCATGTCATTAAAAATTGAATTTCAATCTATCAAGCAGGAGATCAATAGATTGCAGAAGAAGCTAGAGGACTTAGAATCAATCTTGAAGGCACGAACGTTATCGCCAGCTTTGAATGAGGATCCCGAAACTCCCTTTGCCGTCAACGGTGGAGCGAGCAGAAAGACAATCATCAATACAGGATTTGCGGCTCCAATAATCAATCACAGTCACGCAACGCTTCGGAGTCGGTCGTTTAAGGTGATGCGGCACCTTATTAACGTTGTCGACGTTTCGCATCTTGGTCAGCAGCAAATTAAAACTGAGGTAAAACGAAAGCCTTCGTCGCTTTCCCGGACCACAGGAACGACACCATCTGAACGCCTAGAGAATTTGTCAAACACCCAAACCATTCCAAAGACCACCAGAGTTACCAGGAGATCCGCATCGAAGCAGTCAGGACAGGCCTACACGTCCGATACACCTAAAATCTTCCATCCTAAACGTCCTCGCAAGGAAGTTCCAATCACCGCGGCATCGACATCGTTCCAACCACCATCAAGCCCAAATTCACCTCTCAAGACAACTACTGCTGAGAAAAAAGAATTAAAAACAGGAACGACCGTTTCAGATCGATCATTTGGGTTACCTTTGAACCCGAAAAGTGAACCAAAGACAATCCTCAGCCCAAGCCCTGCCGAGAAACCTAGTCAAAATCCTAGTGTTCCTCAAATCTTTCACCCTAAACGTCTGGGTGATGAGGAGGAGAGACTAACAGAGAGCCTCACTCGCATTGGAACAGCAACTACCAAGATTGTCAGCCTCTGGGTAACTAACCTGAGTATTTAATAGTAAAAAGGTTGTTACTATGAGTTGACTGAAGTTTTGAGCGTGGTGAGTGTTAGGTAGTGGGTGATTAATACCAGTCCTGTAAAGAGGAGGTTTCACTCTATCAGTATGGTCTTTACTGAGAGGCTTGCTATCAACAGCGCATCCGGATCAATACAAGGTATTAATAGGCATCCAGGGTACTAAGACTCACCTGGGATTGATTTGGTTATTCCCCTAAGGGAATGGGCTAACAATACTTATTAAACTTTAACAAAATTAGTTGAAGATTAACAGGTATTGTTAATGGGAATATTCAGCAAGGCTATGAATACTGTGGATAAGTTGAGTAAGAGTACTGAAGCTTAAGAACAATAAATGTAGACAAGATTTATGTTGGTTACGGGTACTGTATCAATATAAATGTTAACTGGTTTAACTGGTGTCTGAATATTCTGGGGATTAATCAGTGAAAGAGGCACGGATTATAAGTTCCAGAATATTGAAGGGGGGAAAGAATGAGCGCTCAGAATCAAGGGAGCTTTGGCCAGGAGAATGAGCACATCAATTGAGTGACTGATCATTATTTGTCATGATCTGTAAGTGACATCATAATTGTGTACTAGTTGATCAATGTACTAGTAGCTCTTGATGCGTGTACTTAACAGATCCTCTAATAATGTAGTCATAATTGTGATCAGTGCATGTATTGAATGTATTAATTCTATTGACACTTAATACTTACTATTTAATACATGTACATATTTATTTGTAATAATATTTGACCGTGAAAATACTGTAGCAGAGGGATAACTTGTGGTACAGGTATTTCACGGACAAGGGAGTGAAAGGTAAGTGATAATTACTTATGTAGAAAACAGGTATGTATTTAATAGATAAGTAATTAACAGATAAGATAACTGTAAGATAAATAAGATAAGTTAATAATAAAGATAAGATAACAAGAGGTAAAGGTAATCAACATTATGGATAAGTACTTATGTACATAAGTACAGGTGTTGCAGTTACTTGGTACATGAAAGGTACTGTGACATGTACTCTGTGGCTGACACTTCCTCCCTCTAAAAAAGGCTGATCCAAGAAATAAATTAATGTTATTTTCTTTTATCAGCTCTGTATTGTCTGAGAATTTTATCAGCATCAGGTATTTTATCAACTGTAAGCCATTCATCTTCTTTGGTACCACTGTATCTTACTAAATACTGTTTAATGTCTTCATTGTTTTTTCTGATTTTTCTATGTTGTAATATCTTCTTAATTTTAATTTCTTCTTTCTCTAAAGGAGGTATTACAACTCTGATGTTATCTTTTCTTAAAGGAAATTTATCATTATTACTAGTTTTGTATGGTTTAATTAGACTGACTGGAAATGTAGGGTGTTTTCTTTCTAATTCTCCAGTGAGTATAACTTCAACAGCATTTGCACCGTGTAATTGTTTGATTGTAAAAGGTCCTACAAAAGAATCTCTTAATTTTTTAGGTCCAGTCAGGTTTGTAAAATTAAATGTAGATATCAAGACTTGGTCTCCAACTTTAAACTGGTGAGCTTTGTGAGTTTTATCCCATCTAGTTTTGTTGTAATCTACAGCTAATTTCACGCATTCTGCTGCATATTTTTCAGCTTTGGTCATCATAAAATGAAAATCAGAGGCACTTGGGTGTATATGTACTGCTTTTGACATTAAAATTTCTTTGGGAAACCAAGGAGTCCAACCTCTTTCCAATTCATAAGGTGTTTTATTTGTTGTACTGTGTTTGCTAGAATTGTAAGCATATTCAAGTGCAGGTAATAATGAACACCAATCATGAGTATAGTTGTCTTTATCCTTAAATGTCATTCCATAGGCACAATATCTTCTGATCATGTCTTCCAAAGTTTGAATCATTCTTTCAGCTAGTCCATCTGTTTGGGGGTGGTAAGCTGTAGAAAATTTCAGTTGTGTCCCACATAAATCATATAAATTTCTCCAAAATTCTGACGTAAATTTAGGGTCTCTGTCTGTAATGATATATCTGGGACATCCAACATCATAAATAATAGAATTCCAAAATAATAAGGCAGTATCCATTGCTGTATCTTCTTTATGACATGGTAGAAATCTTGCTCTTTTGGAAAATCTATCAACTACTACTAAAATTGCATTGAAATTATTAGGTCCTCCGGGTGGTAAGCCAGTAACAAAATCCATGTTAATAACAGACCATCTTTCTTTGGGTTCTTCAATTTCTTGCAATAATCCATACCTTTTTCCTGTAGCTTTATTTGCTTTTTGGCATCTGTCACAAGATTCACAATAATCTTTGGTATCATTTCTACAATTAGGCCACCAAGCATTTTGTTTAATTCTCTCAATTGTTCTGTCAAAGGAAAAATGAGCTGAGGATATATTGTCGTGACATTCTTTCAAAAATAAATTAATGTGTTCTTTTAAACAAATAACTACTACACTTGTATGTTTAATTCTGTGGTAAATTAATCCATCTAATAGGGAGAATCTATTTTCTTTGAATGAGCTAAGCCATGGTTCTTCTAAGGAATTGATCAGATCATTATTTTTGAAATTACTTTGTAATATATTCTTTATTGTGGAGCAATTTTTATTTTGGTCATAACTAATTCTAATTTCATCCCAAAATTCTTCTTGCATTTCAGTCACGTGTAACCCACAAATATTAATATCATCATTGTTATCATCAAAGGCAGGATTATTTTCATTATTTTCCTCTGGGAATAAACACATAATTTTTGCAGCAATTTCTCCGTCCCATGCTGGGTTGTCTGGTATATTTTCCAAAGACCATCTACTAAGTCCATCAGCATTTTTATGTATATTACCTTCTCTATGTTTGATAGTCATACTTCCTCTCCATTCTTGAATAGCTATTTGCCATCTGAGCATGTGTCTATTTGGAGTTTTCATACTTAATAAACTTTTGAGGGCTGTACAATCAGTAATGACTTCAAATTCACATCCATCAAGGTAATAATATAATTTATCTAGGGCCCAGACTAAACATAAACATTCAAGTTGGCTGGCCCCATATTTTTTCTCACTGTCTTTCAAAGTTCTAGAAATATAACAAATGACTCCTTCTTTTGGTATTTCTTGATCTTGAATTTGGTGTAAGGCAGCTCCCAATCCTTCCATACTAGCATCTACATATAATTTATAAGGCTTATTAGGATTAGGCATAAATAATATAGGAGCAGAAGTAAGTAATTCACGTAATTTATTAAATGCAGCTACTCTATCTACTGTCATCTCAAAAGCAGTGTTTGGGCTACTTAATTTATATAGACAACCTGTTACTTTGGCAAAATCTTTAATGTGTTGTCTATAATAACTAGCAAAACCAAGGAATGACTGTATTTCTTTAACATTAGTGGGCATAGGTTTTAACATTACTGCAGCTACTTTATTTTTATCTATAGCTATGCTCAATCCTGAAACTATGTGGCCTAATGCTTTAAGTTCTTGAAAACCAAATTGACATTTGTTCATAGAGATCTTCATATTCATTTTTATAACTCTTTCTAGAACAATTTTTAATTTGTCAAGGTGGTCATTCCATTCAGTGCTAAAAATAATAATGTCATCAATATAAATTATTAGCCATCCTTCACGTAATTCTTTATGAAATTCAGTATCCATCATTCTTTGGAAGTGAGAGGGTGCATTTTTAATTCCAAAGGGCATTCTCAAATATTCATAAATACCCATATGTAGAATAATTCTCATTAAGTGTCTACTATCTTCATGAATAACATTTTGATGAAATCCTTTAAGTACATCCATACACGTAATATATTTAGCATTTTGTAGTTGCGTGATGGCTTCACTTATTTTAGGCATTGGATATCTATCAGCAATTGTGTTATTGTTGAGAGCTCTGAAATCTCCAACCATTCTAGATTTACCATTATGCCACGCAATAATTACAGGAGTAGTTACTTCAACATTTTCATTGGCACCAACTTTTCTAAGTACATTCATTTTTACTAAGTCAGTTACATGTTGTTGTAAGGCTTCTCTGCTTCTTGGGGATGCTGGGTATGCAGCTTTTCTTAATGCTGGAGGGTAAGGTCTAGAAGTATTAAGATTAATTCTGACTTCATGTCCTTTTATACGTCCAAAGGGTTCATCAGTAGTAGCAAAGGCTAATTTCTTTTTATGTAGTAAAGAATATAACTGTGACTTTTCTTCTTCTGTTAAAGTACTAGAAATTTTTGCTTCTTCAATAGTATTTCCAAAATTATTATCTTCTAAAGCATTACATTCTAGTTGTACTAAATTCATTTTATCAGTGATACCAAGTTCAAATTTAGTAGATAAGTCTCCATTGATAGTAAAATATCTGCCATTGCTATTTATAACATCTATCCCGTAATTAATTATGTAATCATTTCCTAAAATGATGTATTTCATTCTAAAGTCTTCCATTACAATTAATTCTACCGTGATTTGTATGTTATTCTTAGCATGAGGAAATATAATATCTAGAGTTATAATTCCCATAGGGTTCAATTTACTGTTACAACTGTAGAATTTCTCAGGTTTGATGGGGATCAATTTTGTTTTCCAATCAGGCAGTATTTTATCTAATAATTTAGGACTAATTATAGAACAGAAGGCTCCTCCATCAATCAGACATTTAATCTTGTATTTATTACAGACAATATTTGTGATGTTAGTACCTCCAGTCTTATGAATTTCTCCCTTATTACTAGACTTCTTCACGGGTAATTTGATAATTTTATGAGGTAAACTCTTTTCAGGTAGTAATTCTATATTAGAAATGATTTTTTCTTCATTAATAATGGCATCTATGGTACTATCACTATTTTCTTCAGAAGATGATTCAGAATCACTGCTCTCAGATTTGGTATCATTATCTTCAGAGTCTGAAAAGGGTTGTTGGTTATCTTCATGGGGTTTAACCATCATGACATCTTTTTTATTCTTACTGAGTTTAGGGCATTTAGTAGATTTATGTCCTTT